GTGCACGACCAACATTGGCCCTAAATTGCCATGATTGTCCAACTTCCATGTGGCCATGGAGAAAACCCACGTGCACGAACGAAGAGTGGGGGCAGTGCCAGATTATCATTGTAGTAAAAGTAGCAAATGCTACGGGACCCGCACTTTCAAGGGCCCCGCACTAAATGCTTTCAAGCTATCAATTCGGGTTCAGCGATTCTGCACTTGCTCTATTACTATAGTACTATACCACCTTCAACTTTTATGAACGACTGGGTGTGTAAGGTTCGCATTTTGTAGTATTATCTGGCTGTATAGCAAATGAAAAAATACAATTACTTTACGATGCAAGTTAAAAAAGGTGTTTTAATATTTATTTTTGATTTAGGGCCTCTTTATAACGTATGCTACCGGCCCCGCGCGAGCTTAATCCGGCACTTGGGAGGGTTGGGTCAACACTTGATTCCACGCACAAGGAGCAGATGATGATGGGAGTCCACATTTGTTGCTGGCAAGCCAGGGCAAGGCACCTTGACACCCACCGTGGGTTTGACAACATCTGCGTGCGGTGATCCACTAACCCCTCCGCAGTCACGGTGGAGCCGCAGTCACCGCCGCCCCCGGAGGGAGAGGCGATTGGCAACAACCCGATTTCGATTTAAAGCTTTCGTGACTGCAGGGATTCATATTCTTGCGTCTTTCGGTAAAGTCACGTAGAAAAATTATAAAAATAGTATTTAATAATAAACTACTATTATTTTATTATATAACAAAATATTATTTTCACCATTGGAACCTCATTTGCCAGTAAAAAATATGATAATTGGTTTTTTACCCTTTTATCTGGCAACAAAACTGACACCTGTCAGAGTTATGTTTTTTGTTTGCATTATGACTGCAGGTATTGTGGTCTATGCAAACATGACTCCTTGTAAAAAAGGTGTCAGTTTTGTTGCCAGAAAAATAGGTAAAAAAAACTATTATATTTTTTACTGGCAAATGAGGATCCAATGGTGTAAATGCTTACCCCGAGCTCTCATACTCTGATGGTGCATTGTCTTTGAGTTGTGCGCCTTTTGGCGTCATCTGGTCCAACACCATGTGAGACTAGGCTCTAAGGGAAGCTGTCTCGGGTGTGGACCAATCAACTGCAAGGACAGTGCACACATTATCAGAGTTATGTTTTTTGTTTGCATTATGACTGCAGGTATTATGGTCTATGCAAACATGACTCCTTGTAAAAAAGGTGTCAGTTTTGTTGCAAGATAAAAGGGTAAAAAAAAAACAATTATCAAAATATATTATTTTATAATAAAATAATATTATTTAATAATAAAATAACATTATTTCCCTTCTACTTGACTTTACCGAAAGAACCAAGAATATGAACCAGATGTCATGTTTACGTTGATCCGCAATGCGCTGCTGCGCTCAATCGCGTCGTTTCCTTCGCAAACGAGGAAGTGAAAGTTGCTGTCGCCCTGATGCTAAACGTGACGTGCACACACCTACACCCAATGGTTCTTTCGGTAAAGTCACGAATGTAGAACTAAAATTAAAATTAAAATAAATCACAAATAAAATTAAAATAAATCACGACGTTTCGAACGCAACACAAGCGCTCATCATCAGGCGGATATAGGGCAAAGCACACAGCGAGGGGACACACAGAGGGGGGACATCAAACACAGAGCACACAGAGGGGGGACATCACACACAGAGCACACAGAGGGGGGACATCAAACACAGAGCACACAGAGGGGGGACATCACACACACAGCACACAGAGAACGGAAAACTGCACGGAGGCAAATACAACAGGAAGATGGGAGACGCGAACTCAACAAACATTAGAAACTTAATGCGATGCAAACCAGTCGGCCAACAACACAGTTAGACACTAACCTGGCTGACCACGTATTTCAAAAGACTGCTAAATTGTGTGTTCATCTTATTTTAATTGTATTTGTGATTTACTTAAATTTGATGTTATTTCTACATACGTGCACACGGCTGTTCGTCACGCAGCTGACCACTGCTGGCCCCATTACTGTGGTCCGATCAGGTCAGCACACACACACACACAATGTACATAACCCATCCACAGGAGGTACGGAACGATGTGCATCGAGCAACTCCTCTGACGCCACCGAATGGGTTTCCAAAATCGACACGGTTACATTTTGCCGGTTGCTTCTCTCCAACACGACGCAAAAGCATTGGCTTAATTCTAGATTTGAAGTTTTCGTGACTGCAAGGATTCATTAAATTAAATCTTCATGAAGACGGGAGCTTGTGTTGCCTCCGAAACGTCGTGATTTAATTTAAAATTTTACCAAGTGACTTTACCGAAAAAAACAAAGAGTAAGCATTGGCTTGACTACCAACATGCGTCTCATGCTGCTAGTGAGACACGGACAGCCCTGCTCCCCCCACCAGCAGTGCCGGATTAAGCTCGTGCTGGCCCTGTAGCATATGTTATAAGGGGCCATAAATAAGTAAAAAACACTTAAATATTAAAACACATTTTTTTTACTTGCATAGTAAAGTAATTGCATTTTTTCATTTGCTATACAGCCAGATAATACGACAAATAGCTAACCTTACACACCCAGTCGTTCGTAAAGTTGAAGGTGGTCTAGTACTATAGTAATAGAGCAAGTGCAGAATTGATAGCTTGAAAGCATTTTGCGCGGGGCCCTTAAAAGTGCGGGGCCAGTAGCTACTACATATGTAGCTACTTTTGCTACTTGGATAATCCGGCACTGCCCACCAGTCAAAGTTTTATTTTAAGTGACATTGAGACTGTACCCACTTTGACGGTCTGTTTGGGGAACAATATCTGTTTGTAAAAAAATTATTGAAAGGGAAATTCCAGATATTCATCAAGAGTTTTAAAGGCACTGCGTTGTATAGGTACAATATACAACATATATAACATGTAACGTGTCGGGTAAGCAAGACGCAGCCTCTCGTTTTAGGCATTGATCCTTATAATTATATTCATAACGTTATTAATAATTTAGTACATTTAATATTAGGGCGATTCTTATGGACTATTGTGCCTTCTCTCACAGGTGCCGTTTCATAAGTCTGCAGTACGCTCGCAGTCGGGGCAGTGTTGTTACGTTTGATAACAAATTGAGTAATTTGCAGATAATTTTCAAATGTTTCAAAAGTATTCTAGATTTGAAGCTTTCGTGACTGCAAGGATTCATATTCTTAGGTTTTTTCGGTAAAGTCACGTAGGTAAAAATTTTAAATTAATAAAAGTCAAATAAAACAAATTAGACGGAGGCTTGTGTTGCTTCCGAAACGTGAATTTTTTTATTTATTTTATTTTACTTTTATTAATTTAAATGTTTTACCTACGTGACTTTACCGAAAAAAACCTAATTTCAAAAGTATATTGAACTTCTGTCGCACCGTACGTGGACAGCCGTTCTAGTCCGAGGTGTGGGGGAAGGACAACAAACTAAACACAAAAAGCAGTTCTAAAGAAATGGCCTACTTTTGTGAATGACGTTACATGATCTTAAACGTCCGCAGTAAAGTGGACGGTGTGTATTTCTACAGTTGATATTGGAGGACCATTTCCCAAGACGTCACATTACGTATTTTTTCCTTTGAGTAATGTTGACGTAAAGCTTTCGTGACTGCAGGAATTCATATTTTTTGGGTCTTTCGGTAAAGTCACGTAAATAGGTTAAAATTCATATTATTGGGTCTTTTGGTAAAGTCACGTAAATAGGTTCAAAGAAAATAACAAAAAACTACGACATTTCGATTGCAACACAAGCGGTCATCTTCAGGAAAAGTGGGGGTGAGCTTCCAAGTCAAACTGTTTATAAAGGTTTGAAATGGGCTTTGCCCAAATGTCAGCAGCCAATGACAATGTAAGTGGTGGGTAGCCAACCCGGCGGTGGTTAGCTTTCCACCAATCAAAGGGCTGCCAGGTGAAAATTAGCATGTTAATGTGAGAGATTAGCATGTCAATGAGAGATTAGCATGTTAATGTGAGAGATTAGCATGTTAATGGCAGATCGCAGAGCCGCAACGCACGGGTCGGCACGCAAAGTGACTATGAAAGCGCAATTTTGAAATGGGCGTAAAACACAACTAACATCGGAAGGTGGTAGGATGGGAACATCACAGCCAATTATGACTTAAACTGGTTGATAACGTCCTTCCAATTCACACGAGCACAGCCACTTCGCGCACCGACCCGTGCTTTGCGGCTCTGTGATCTACCATTAGCATGCTAATCTCTCATTAACATGCAAATTTTCACCTGGCAGCCCCTTGATTGGTGGAAAACCAACCACCTTCATGTTGGCTGCCCACCACTTACATTATCATTGGCTGCTGACATTTGGGCTACGCCCATTTCAAACCCTTATCAACAGTTTGCCTTGGAACCTAACCTCCCTTTTCCTGAACACGGCCGCTTATGTTGCGATCGAAACGTCGTAGTTTTTTGTTGTAATTTTCTTTGAACTTATCTACGCGAATTTACCAAAAACCCCAATAATATGAATTCCTACAGTCTCAAAAGCTTCAAGTCAAGATCTAGGTTCACATTAATAAAGATAAAACGAAAAACTACGTTTTTATTATTTGAACCTATCTACGTGACTTTACCGAAAGACCCAAAGATTGAGTAGTGTTATTAACAGATGTGTTGAGTTTGTGTTGTTTGTGCTTGTGCACCACTTCCAATGCAGTATCACAATGTTTTCTTATCCAAGTAGTACAAGTATGTTAGTCCCTGTTCTCTGCTCTGAAGATTGAATCGCCCAAAACCCTAGCATATTGTTATTTTCTGCTGTAAAAGGTGGTGTTCATGATTAACATTGTGCATTTTTTTCAATTTAGGGTTGCTCATCACTGGCCCATGCAGTCATTAAATGATTTATACAAAAATATATGCAGGATATAAAACGTCAGTATATATAAACAGATGTAATATGTACACATGGACATATAATTGTCCAGAATGAAAACACTCAGTGGGTCGTGTACAACTTTTTAAAACATGTATTCAAAACAAATGTACAAAAAGTGACAATGATTGTAGTACACATCCTTTCGGCTTGTTCTAAAATCCAATAAATAATACAGAACATGTTCAAAAATTCACGCATCTTATTTTGCACAAATCACAACAAACCAACGTTCACGAAAGCCCTTCCATTGACGCACTTACTATCGTTGTGCCAACCATTACATTTAGCGGTTTCTCTATTTTTTTTACAAATTTTGTTTTTAAATACGAATACCTCGTAAATATACATCACAATATCAATGAAATGGGATCCTATCTGACAAACCAAGTCAATGAAATTGAACAGCAAATATGCACATCACTAAACCGCAAATATAATGTGGTACACAGTATTTAGCAACTATTTACGAAATGGTTAATAGCTGCTTGGATTGAACGGAATTCGACTGGGGAGGAATGAAAAATTAATGATTACATCTCTGATAACTCAAGGAAGCACACTTGCTTGGTTAGCCTTCATAATAGGATTCGTGAGAACAAAAAAATTGAAGGTCTTGAAGATCGTTAATTAAATAGCGACAAATCAGTGTGAGACGTTGACATTTAGACGATGCTGCTTCTGTCTCTGCGGTATTTTAATCTACAATGCTCTGTCTCGGAGTGCGGTCAAATTGACAAAAGGTAATTCCGACTTGTAAGACTATTTTGTAAAAAATGTTGATATGCACAGTATGTACTTCCAGTATTTACCAGCGTTTGCTTACAGTTGTGGTTCTGTTCCAACCCCGGTCATAGTTTCGTTCAAACTTCAGACGAGTAACTTTGCGACGTGCGGAAGAATACAGTGTAACGATCGAGTGTGTAGCACTATGTGCCTGTGTGTGCGCGCATTTTAAATATTCATGCAATTGCCGAAAACAGTTTCCCAAACCTTTTGTCTAAAGTTGTAGAAGACCATTCGAATTACAGATTTAGATACACTTTAGTGTTATAGCTCTGATTACTACAAGTGTAACAGCTCCGGGTCAACAGGGGGCAGAAGGGAGGCTGATGGAGATAGTCGGCCCGTTGGGCCAAGGTAACCCCCAGAGTAGCTCGTGACCAGAAGTGCAGACCCCAGGGATAACGTCACACTCCAAGCCCCTCTAGACGGTTCCAGAATGGAGTGGCGGCTAGGGGCGGAGCGAGCCAGGAACTGGGTATAAAAGCCGGACCCCTGAACGGAACCGGCAGTTGTCGTCCACTCGAAGATCAAGAAGCTGCCCTGACGACCTAGGAGCCGGAGCAGAGGACCCCGATAGCGGAGGGCTCTATAGAGATTGGTCCCGAGTGTGTGTGTGTGTGTAGGGCACGCCAGTGAGGACGTACCTCCCTAGTGTAGCGGGTGGAAGGGGCCGTACCCCTTCGTGTTCTGTATTGTTACTTGTAAAATAAACGTGTTGCCTCTAAAGAGAAGTCTCCCTTCTAGTTTGTACCCACGACACATGTACATTTCAACCGACTACAGTCTCCTTACGACTGAAGAAACTTCTCGCGCGTTTTTTAGAGAGCTTATAACAACGGACCGATTCAGATGATTCCATATCGCAATGTACGGAATCGAAAGCCGATGCATTAGCATTCAAAAATTTCCGATTCGAGCATTGTTGTTGTCTGTGCAGACGATATTGATCACAATGATTAGAAAAAAATGAAAATATTTCTTAATGAGTGAATTGTGACCCCGAGTTGGGACAAAACCCATCGCGAGGGGTTAAAATCGTTACACTGACACTATTCGTGTCAAGCAGATACCGGGGTAAGGAGAGCCACATGCATTTTGACAGAACACCTGCGATGGGTTTATGTCAAGTTGTTTTGAATCAATGTACTCGTTCATTGGATGTAAAAATAAAAAAATGCAGAAAAGTGTATCAGCAACCCAATTGGTGCAATTACTAAATTTACTAAATGTTTTATTCATCTAAGTGTTAGCCTCTTTTCATAGAACGCAATCACCACTTGAGGACATTTCAAGTTAGCTTCTCTTGCCAGGACCAAGTCTGCTTCAGCACAGCCCTTCCTGAAATGAGACGCAAAAGCAAAAAATCATGTTTACTGTCATGTTGACACGGTAGATATTAACCAGTACGGTTAATGGCTAGCCCAGTGTACGCCCAGGATGCATTGCTCAGAATCTTCATGTAAATTCTCAAGTACTTAAATCGAAGCAAAGAGATGGGATGTTGGATCTTAACGTGGTACAGTACCTAAACTAAACTTTTTATCTCAACAGGTAAGGCCCACTGAGCTGTATAGTTCTTTTTCAGGAGCGATCCTGGCCACAAATGATAGCTTAGTCAAGTGACTTGCGTGGAAATTTATAGCAGCTAAATAACTCTAAGCAGATGTTGATTCTAAATGTGGTAGGACAAACCGGAGGACCCGGAAAAAAAAATGTACATGACAACAGGGAGAACATGCAAACTCCAAATAGACAAGCGCCAGGGTCGGGATTGAACCCAAGACCACCCTAAACAGAGGATGCTCAGTAACCCGATTGCGATCTCAACTGTAAAACCTTGTGTGTGAAAAGTGTATATTATTGATATATTCAGATATATTAAATTGTATATTATACTGTATGTATTATTAGTCTACCGTATACAAATTGTTTACACTTGTATAAAAACAGTCGCCATTAAAATGGGGGAAAATATTAATAGAATACAGTTGAAAGAGAATATAGCCAGTCTGGGAAGCGAACACTTGGATACCATCTGGGGCATGGATGTCTCTGTGAAACGTACAAAATGTGCGTCTTAGTGATAGTTCGTAAATCTCGAGTACGTCACAGCGAGGCACCGCGGGACGTAAAACGCGATTGGGTATCAATAAGTTGAGTACGTTACAGTGAAAGTACGTAAAACGGGAGGGCAGAAATTGGGGTATTACTGTATAATACTCTTGCAAAATGAACTCACCACTTCATCAGAAACATCAACTCGCCCGTCCTCTTGGTGATGCCACAGATTTTTTCTGCCTCCAATCCACGATTAAATCCATGCACCATCTTTCCCTGAAAAACAAAAAAAACACACTCGTGTCATCACATCCTCTAAACGTTGCAAAAATTACCCATGTAGTTTCAACGATGAAAATAACATCATACGATTGTTAAGAATAAATCCTTTATAACTACGTGGACGTCCACTGAGCTTGAAAGTAAATCAGAGCAACTGAAAACAAATCAAAGGAAAATAAACAGGTAAAATAACTCAATACAAAACATAGCACAGCGAAACAATATCACAATACATCAGAAATGCAGAAACTCGACTCAAACGAAACGCAAATTAAGCCGAATATTTTCGACGGCTAGGTTTTAAAAGCTAACGGAAAAAAAATACACACGTATATATAATTCATGTACACACACATACCTCCACAGCCTCCTGTACATCTGCCACTCCGTCCTCGTGGTCAGAGCTTTCGGAGGACGTCCTCTTTTCCTTTTTGGCATTTTAAGGGGCATCCCTACGGAGCGTGCCAAGGCCTCCGTGCTGGGCCGAACTCCACACTGCGCGTCCTCCCTGGGCTTGAAATCGCACGCTTCACGCTTCACCTCCACGTCAAGCGCCTTCGAGTCCACGCGCGCGCTCGCGAACGAATCCCCTTGATCGCCCGACGCCACGGCACTGTTCTCCTGCTGGCTGGCGGACGGTGGGCAGTCCCCCGCGTCTTTGTCAGGAGGTGAGGATTCGAACGTCTCCTCGCTTTTTTGTGAAGACCAACTGTTGGTGAGATTGTCTCCCGCCGGCAGTTTCTCCTCCTTCTGAATGTCTTCCTCGCTGGGCCTAAGATCTTCCAAATCCTGCTCTAAATCCCAACATGATGAATCCTCCTCTTGCTTGAATTGTTCATCCAGAAGTGAGTGACACCCATAATCTTCTGAATCTTCTGTGATGGGCAAGTTATCGTCATCGTCGTCATCGTCATCATCATCCTCTCTCTCTGCCAAGCCAAATATTTGAACGGGAGTGCCCTCATCTGCAGGCTGATCGTTGACCTGTTCCATCATTCCATCGCCCTCGTACATCTCATCTGAACTGCCATCGCTCCAGTCGATCTCTGACAAGGAATACTAGAACAAAAAGAGGCATGCGCATGCAGACATTACCATCAGTGGTCACATAGCAGCCAAATTAAGCAATACTGTGCATGCTTGTTAAAATGTCCATAACGCATCATAATACAAAATTGTAACACATGCTACCTCAGTTGATCGACTCAGCGGTGGACAGGGAGAAGTGGCAAGGCCGCCGCAGGGAGATATGGGTGAAGGAAACGGTCATGCTCGAAAAACGAACGAGAAGAACAATAATAATATGATGATTTTGAATGGCCAATGAAAGGCAAACATCAGATATTCAGTTCTGCCATTCAACTGCTTTGTACGAGAGTTGGTGAATTGCAGATACACCAGCTTCAAGTTTATATTCAGGGAAATACGAAGTTCTCACAATCGCAATCTCTTAGGTTTGTACGTATGTTATGTATGTTGAACTTGTTTCACACCGTATGTAGCCAACTGTGCAATTCGGAGGTGTGGGAGAAGGACGAGAAACTATTCTCCATTTGTGCGTAGGTATCTGCATCTTCTGCGGCTTGTGCGGATCCGGTTAAGTGCAAGCCATTGTTTCCGTGGAAAATGGAAGCCAGGCAATGTGGTGGCGATGATAGAGTGGATGATGAGCTGTGCATAGCGGAAGCAAGGCACACAGTGTGGTGGTGCGTGGGCTTGCTGCTGAGCTGTGTGTGGCGGAAGGCGTAGTGGAAGCCAGGCAGTGTGGCGGCAGTGGTGGTGGTGACGGTGAGGTTGCTGACGAGCTGTATGTGTGGTGGAAGCCGAGCAGCGTGGTGGTGATTGCCGGGCCCATTGCTTGAATCCCAGAAGGCTATATAGGTGAGTGCAGTGATACAAAAAAATATGAAACAAACATTTCTTACATTTTTTGTCAGTTCTCCAATTCTATTCCAACTGGGCTATCGGCGTCATGTCACGAGACGAAGAAATATCGATTCTAAACACCCGCACATGTTGGGTTACATACATGTACACCATTAGTGTCAATACAATTCTGAATGAGAGCCTCCCCTACGCCGCGCAATTCGCGGAGGTAATTTCTAGCCATACTTCACCACGCTGGTCAACGCTAGTTGGTCAAAGCGGGGCACATAAACGTCGGCGCACACAGAACCAGCCACACGGTACTTACTATAGTTCAGCAGCCTACTTGCTGTAACGACGTCCCCCTTGAAACCCATATCTTACCTCTGCAGTATGCCACGAAATGCACGCACACACACACAGGGGATGTGTGTGTGTGTGCACAGGTGGAGCAGCTATCACCTTGGGCAGTCAACCCATAACACCTGGGGGGGGAGGGGGGGGGTCTGTGCCGTGACCTCGCTAGCTCCTGCCCAGCACCAACGAGCCTTCCAAACGTCACGTAATGGCCTCGAGGTGCGGCACCTAGCCTGGCACGAGCGCCGTGGTGATGTCCCCGCACACTTCCTGGCGTATTGCTGTTGTTGTTGTTGAGTGAGCGGTGGTGTCAGCTACAATGTCACAGAGCAAACACAAAAGATCGCCTGTATAGCCTTACACAGAAAGGCCGGCACGGCACACGAGGGGGCAGGTGGCCAGCACCACGCCCGGCCGCCTTTGTCTCCCCCAGTAGCGATGTTTACACACCGCGCATGGTACTCATTTGAGGCTGAGTCGACCTTAGAGGAGAGACCCAGGGCCGATTCAAATAATCGTCACCGGTGTTGGCCGTGAGCGGGAATCGAACTCGAGTGGCCAGGTTCGTAGCGCAGCCGCGCTAACCACTACACCACCACTCCCCACCGGTCCCCACCGGTACGCGCACCGGTAACACACACAGGTACGCACCTGGTAACACACACAGGTACACACAGGTACGCACCGGTAACACAAAGATAAAAGACAAAGATCCCCCGTATAGCCTTAACAGACTGTAGGGGCAAGTGCTGGAAGCGAGAACCTATGAAGGCCGGCACGGCACACGAGGGGGTGGGTGGCCAACACCACGCCCGACCGCCTTTGTCTCTCTAGTAGCGATGTTTTTACACACCGCACCAGGTACTCATTTGAGGCCGAGTCGACCTAGGGGAGGCCCAGGACCGGTTCAGATAATCGTCACTGGTGTTGGCCGTGAGCGGGAATCGAACCCGGGTCGCCGGGATCGTAGCGCAGCGCACGCACCGCTCCCCACACACAGACACACACCACAGGTACGCACCGGTAACACACACAGACACACACAAACAAACACACACACAGACACACACACACAGGTATGCACCGTAACACACACAAGACACACACACACACAAACCACACACCACAACACACACACCAGACACACACAGGTACGCACCGGTAACACACACAGACACACACAAACAACACACACACAGACACACACACTCAGGTACGCACCGGTAACACACACAGACACACACACAAACACACACACAGACACACACACAGGTACGCACCGGTAACACACACAGACACACAAACAAACAACAACCGCCATTCGCCACTAAGTGGCGGTGACGTCACCACGACGCTTGTGCCAGGCCAAGTGCACCTTGAGGCCACGTGAAGTGTAAACCTGTAACAAACAAACACACAGACAGACACACACACAGGTACGCACCGGTAACACACACACACACACAAACACACACACAGACACACACGCAGACACACACACAGGTACTCACCGGTAACACACACAGACACACACAAACAAACACACACACAGACACACACACACACAGACACACACTCAGGTACGCACCGGTAACACACAGACACACACACACACAGACACACACACACACACAGGTACGCACCGGTAACACACACAGACACACACAAACACACAGACACACACACACAGGTACGCACCGGTAACACACACACACGCAAACACACACACGCAGACACACACACAGGTACGCACCGGTAACACACACACAAGGTAAACACGTGTACGTGCCGCATAGCAACTGGGCGAGTGTGTGTGTGTCTGTGTGTGTCCGTCTGCTACAGCAGAGGTGTAGGGAATTCCAACAAGACCTACATCTCTGCTTTATTGACCTGGTCAAGGCCTATGATACCATCAGTAGGCCTGGGCTCTGGGTTGTTCTTCGTGCTTTCGGAGTCCCTGACCCTCTGCTCATGATCATTAAGGACCTTCATGATGGTCAGCGGGCCCGGGTAAAACTACGTGGCCGGGAGTCTGAGCCTTTCCCTGTACACCTTGGGGTGCGACAGGGATGTCCTCTGGCTCCCACATTATTTAACATCTATTTTGACCACGTAGTTCGTGAAGCCTTCAATAGCTGTACCGGGGAAATTTCCATTTGGTACAGATATAATGGGAGGCTGATCGATGCCCGGGTGCGTTCAAGGGATGGCTCCCTATTGGTCAACCACGTTATGTATGCCGATGATTTGGTAATGGCTGCTCATTCAGAGGAGGAGTTGGAGACGCTGCTGCTGAGACTGGAGCATGCTACTAAGAAGTGGGGCCTTACCATCAGCCCCACCAAAACTAAGCACCTGCCTGGGTATTTTGTACCATCGGACACTCCACCCCCACAACTCCCAATCGGTGATGGGGCAGTAGTGGAGAGAGTGGAGAGTTTCCCATACCTGGGCAGTGTGCTTATGACCGGCTCCAGTTTAACAGCAGAGGTCTCACTCCGAATCAGTCGAGCGGCAATATCTTTTCATCGGTTGCGTAACGCTGTGTGGAAGCTACCTGGTCTGTCGCTCCGCACGAAGCTTCAGGTCTTCTCGGCCACAGTCATTCCCTCCCTTTTCTACGCTTGCGAAATGTGGACCCCCCTAATGGAGCATCTTCGCCGGTTGGAAACATTTAGGCTGGCCTGCCTACGATCCATCCTGGGTTTAACCAGGCTGGATTGTGTGAGGAGCTCACAAATCCTTGAAAGATCTGGACAAAGTCCCATCGGTGAGCTCCTCCGGCAGGCAAGGCTGCGTTGGCTGGGTCATGTAGCCCGCATGCCCAGCCACCGCATGCCTAAACAGCTTTTGTTCGGCCGGATCGAGGGGGCTAAATGGGCGCGGCACGGGCTAGAGAAGAGATGGAGTGATGTGGTACAGGAGGACGTGGAGCTGAGTGGACTTGCCGATGACTGGTACCAGCGGTGTCAAGATCGGCCTCTGTGGAGGAGGCTCGTGAAGGACGCTACTGGGCAGTTGGAGGCAGTCGCCCTCCAACAACAACGGAGGGCGGAGGAGCGACGCTCACAACAACGAGCGGAGCGCCGGGTGGCTAAAGCACAGCAAGTTGGTACAGTAGGGGGCACAGGTGGTGCATCAGCCAGTCATCTCGGACATCTCAGTCAGTCGACCCGTGGCACCTGGGTCTGCCCCGTGACCTCCTGCCAGCGGGCGTTCGACACTTCACGTGGCCTCAAGGTGCACATAGCCTGGCACAAGCGTCGTGGTGACGTCACCGCCACTTAGTGGCGAATGGCGGTTGTTGTTGTTGTGTGTCTGTCTGTGTGTGTGTGAGACTGTGCGTGTGTGAGACTGTGTGTGTGTGTCTATGTCTGTGTGTGTGTGATACTGTGTGTGTGAGACTGTGTGTGTGTGTCTGTCTGTGTGTGTGTGATACTGTGTGTGTGTGAGACTGTGTGTATGTGTGTCTGTGTGTGTCTGTGTGTCTGTATGTGTGTGTGTGAGACTGTGTGTGTGTGAGACTGTGTGTGTGTGTGTGTCTATGTCTGTGTGTGTGTGTCTGTGTGTGTGTCTGTGTGTGGGGAGCGGTAGTGCAGCGGTTAGCGCGCTGCGCTATGAACCCGGAGACCCGGGTTCGATTCCCGCTCACGGCCAACACCAGTGACGATTATCTGAACCGGTCCTGGGCCTCCCCTAGCTCGACTCGGCCTTAAATGAATACCTGGTGCGGTGTGTAAACATCGCCACTGGGGAGACAAAGGCGGCCGGGCTTGGTGCTGGCCACCCACCCCCTCGTGTGCCGATCCGGCCTTCATAGGTGCTCGCTAACAGCACTTGCCCCTCCAGTCTGTTAAGGCTACACGGGGGATCTTTGTCTTTATCTTTGTGTGTGTGCACGTGCCAACCGCACCACTCCGCATGGCTCCGACTTCCTTCTTCTTCTTTCACGTGTTGTGCGTCCGGCTCTCCGGCGGCATACCTGGAGCGGTCCCGAGCCTCGCATTAGGTCGACTCGGCCTTAAAACGAGCACTGCACCCCGGTGAAGTGTGTATTAAAACATCAGCACTTGGGGAGACAAAGGCGGCCGTGGCAAGGAGAGAGCGTTGGTGGGGGGGGGGGGGGTGCTTCTCTCCACACAAATCATCCACTTCGTGTGGGTGATGTGTGTGGCGTCGAGGTCTGTTAAAAGGCGACACGGGGGATCTTTGTGTTTGTGTACATTGCGTACAGTGCATTATAAATGGATGTCGTATATTGCAATAACGAAACACTGCTCGGTGTATGTGTGTGTGTGTATCACGTAGTTTAAATTATATCATCGCCACCATCATCAACATCATCATCAGTCGTATCCAATTCTGGACGATTATTGTAATTGTTATTGTGTCGAAGTGTAACGATAAAACAGCGCTGTGGGGAGTGCTGACGCCGAGAATAATAACCACGAACACAGACAGACAGTCACTGCTCCAGTCCCTTCGACAAACACTCACAATGGGGGGCTGCCCCCCACTTCTCTCTCTCTGTGTTCCCACTCACCCCCTTGTGAACAACACCCCCCCCCCCCCCAGACACCCACATTACCCGCTCCCCACACTCAACCCCCTTCATCATTCACCCATCCAAACCCCATTCTCTCTCTCCCCTACCCACCACCACCCCCGTCGCATCATCTTTGCAGCGCGCTGTTGTTTGTTGTATCCCCTTAGAACCCCCCCCACTACCAGGTAGCCCCCCCCACCCACCAGGTTGTGCCCCCCCCCCACCCCACCAGGTAGGGCCTCACCCCCCACCCCACCAGGTAGCCCCCACCCCACCAGGTAGGGCCTCACCCCCACCCCCCCCACCCTACCAGGTAGGGCCTCACCCCCCCCCACCCCACCCCACCAGGTAGGGCCTCACCCCCCCCACCCCACCAGGTAGCCCCCCCCCCACCAGGTAGGGCTTCACCTCACCCCCCACCTCACCCCACCCCCCCCCACCAGGTAGGGCCTCACCTCCCCCCCACCAGGTAGGGCCTCACCCCCCCCACCGCACCAGGTAGGGCCTCACCCCCCCACCCCACCAGGTAGGGCCTCACCCCCCCCCACCCCACCAGGTAGGGCCTCACCTCACCTCACCCCCCCCCCCCCACAGGTAGGGCCTCACCTCCCCCCACCAGGTAGGGCCTCACCCCCCCCACCCCACCAGGTAGGGCCTCACCCCCCCACCCCACCAGGTAGGGCCTCACCCCCCCACCCCCCCTCACCAGGTAGCCCCCCCCCACCCCACCAGGTAGGGCCTCACCTCACCCCCCCACCTCACCCCACCCCCCCACCAGGTAGGGCCTCACCCCCCCCCCCCACCCCACCAGGTAGGGCCTCACCTCACCTCACCCCCCCCCACCAGGTAGGGCCTCACCTCACCTCACCCCACCCCCCCACCAGGTAGGGCCTCACCCCCCCCCCCCACCCCACCCCACCAGGTAGGGCCTCACCTCACCCCCCCACCTCACCCCCCCACCAGGTAGGGCCTCACCTCACCTCACCTCACCCCCCCCCCCCACCAGGTAGGGCCTCACCTCACCTCACCCCCCCCCCACCAGGTAGGGCCTCACCTCACCTCACCCCACCCCCCCACCAGGTAGGGCCTCACCCCCCCCCCCACCCCACCCCACCAGGTAGGGCCTCACCTCACCCCCCCACCTCACCCCCCCACCAGGTAGGGCCTCACCTCACCTCACCCCCCCCCCCCCACCAGGTAGGGCCTCACCTCACCTCACCCCCCCCCCCCCACCAGGTAGGGCCTCACCCCCCCCCCCCCCACCAGGTAGGGCCTCACCTCCCCCCCACCCCACCCCACCAGGTAGGGCCTCACCTTGTACCGGCTGGGCCTCGTGGAGCGCCGGGGAACGTGGCCGCGCGGCCGCGGTCTTCTGTCGCCGCCCGGGGCCCCGGCGTGAGGGGGGTCCGCCGACCTGCTGGGGCTCGACCCCGAGCTGAGGCCCTGCTGGTCCCGGGGTTCGGCTGCCTCCCAGTCTCCCGTGAGCTCGTTCGGCCCCAACTCCTCGTCGTTGCTGCTGCTGTCGCTGCTGCTGCTGCCGTTCCTCGTGGTGGTTTTGGTGGTAAAGGTGGTCGCGGTGGCGGTGGTGGCGATGGTGTTGGTGGTGGTGTTGATGGTGGTGGTGGTGTGGCCGGGCCTATTGGCCTGCATCCTTTTACCCGGGTCCGTCCAGGCCTCGAGTCGTGGGCCCGACCCCTCCTCCTCGCACCACCAGCGCCAGCTATGAGCTGATGGTGGGTCGTGGTGGTGGTGGTGTGCTCGTGTGTGTTTGTCTGTCACCCGGAAGGAAAGAGGAGAGAGGGAGGAGAGAGGGAGGAGACCCGGGACGTGCTGCACAGCGACACCAAGCTCAGCCACTGGCGCACTGCACCCACAAGCTCGCACTCTGCACGCAGATTCACTCCGCACGCACATTCACACCGCACGTAAATTCACACTGCACGTAGATTCACACTGCATGTAGATTCACACTGCACGCACGCAGATTCACTCTGCATGCAGATTCACACCGCACGCAGATTCACTCTGCACGCACGCAGATTCACTCTGCACGCAGATTCATACCGCACGCAGATTCACACCGCACGTAGAATCACACTGCACGTACGTAGATTCACTCCGCACGTAGATTCACTCTGCACGCACGCAGATTCACACTGCACGCAGATTCATTCCGCACGCAGATTCATACCGCACGCAGATTCACTCTGCACGCACGCAGATTCACTCTGCACGCACGCAGATTCACTCTGCATGCAGATTCACACTGCACGCAGATTCACTCTGCACGCACGCAGATTCACTCTGCACGCAGATTCACACCGCATGCAGATTCACTCTGCACGCACGCAGATTCACTTTGCACGTAGATTCACACTGCACGCACGCAGATTCACACTGCACGCAGATTCACTCCGCACGCAGATTCACTCCGCACGCAGATTCACACCGCACGCAGATTCACACTGTACGCATGCAGATTCACTCTGCACGTAAATTCACACTGCACGCAGATTCACTCCGCACGCACATTCACACCGCACGCAGATTCACACTGCACGCATGCAGATTCACTCTGCACGTAGATTCACACTGCACGCACGCAGATTCACACCGCACGCACATAGATTCACACCGCACGCAGATTCACTCTGCATGCACGCAGATTCACTCTGCATGCATATTCACACCGCACGCAGATTCACTCTGCACGCACGCAGATTCACTCTGCACGCACGCATATTCACTCTGCACGCATATTCACACTGCACGCAGATTCACTCTGCACGCACGCAGATTCACTCTGCACGCACGCAGATTCACTCTGCACGCAGATTCACAACGCACGCAGATTCACTCTGCACGCACGCAGATTCACTCTGCACGCACGCAGATTCACTCCGCACGCAGATTCACTCTCCACACTAACACACAGGTTCAGTCTGTACCCACATATTCACACTGCACTCAGATGCGCAGGCTGCAGACAGATTCACACCGTTCATAATCAACGTTGTTGGGTTAGATCGCGTTATTGATAAATGTGTCGTAACCCTCCACCATCCGACACGGCCAATCAGCAAAAAAAAGTGTCACGTTGATAAAAGACAAAATAGTTCACTACTTTAGCCCACCGGTGTGTTGAAGAGTGAATCCACAACATTTACAGTTTTTTTTAGTACTGTGACGTTTCGCTGGTAATTACATCCAGCATCATCGGGCAATGTGCCTTTCACACGCAGCTTGCACTGCACTCACACGCACAGATGTACTCTGCGCACACAAATGCGCACTGAACACACGGCTACGCGTAATGCACGTACACCACTACACACACACAGGCAGTCTGCAGGCGGTCCTGCTCCCAGCACAATGCACAGATGCACGCTGTACGCACAGAGACGTCTCTTGCACACTGGACAAATACACACCACTGCGACGAGCGCCACACAGCACACACCAAGTACGAGCAATTCAACAAATTAATTGTCAATTACTGTGCCCTGCACAGCTGCACACAGCAGCACGTGCTGCACATAGCAAGCATAGAGCGCGTCCTGGCTTACATAGATCGCACTACACTAGTGGACCCTCAAGGTGGTATAGTGAGGGAACAAGTATAACCCGTAAAAACAAAGTTTTTCACTGTAAATCCTTTATATGCGTGTTCAATGGGCCACAACCCAGCCCACATTGGTCTTTGAAACGGGCGGCTAGAGTCCTCTCGTCCTCTGGCTTGAGATGGCTGCCACCTATGGGTCAGATGATTGCCTGCCAGCATTAAGCAATTGGTAATTAAATATAAAAAAAAATCCTTAAAAGTGGAAAATTTTGGATTATTCCGAACACAAATTTTGGGAAAAAAATTTCACGAAAAGAAATTGTCACGCACAACGAGTCTGTGTGCAAAATGTCAGCTCGATTGGATCACGGGAAGTGGGTTATAAAACGACCGAAAGATTTGCACGGTCGTAAGCGTGCAAGCAAGCAAGCAAGTGAACTTAATATAAAGGATTTAAAAAAGTATTTGATCCTCTGCTGACTTTGTACGTTTTCCCACTGACAAATAAATGATCAGTCTATAATTTTAATGGTATGTTTGTTTGAACAGTGAGAGATAGAATAACAACAACAAAATCCAGAAAAACGCACGTCAAAAATTTTACAAATTGATTTGTATTTTAATGAGGGACATAAGTATTTGACCCCTCTGCAAAACATGACTTAGTACTTGGTGGCAAGACCATTTTTGGCAATCACAGAGGTCAGACGTTTTTTGTAGTTGGCCACCAGGTTTGCACACATCTCAGGAGGGATTATTACGAACACACTATTCATTTTCAAGTTGTTGTCCATTTCCTCCTCATCAATGCCTGCATCATCAAATCTTCTTCTATGTGTAGTGGGTTCGAATTAAGTGCACACACACACAGCTTGGAGGCAACACTATTAAACGGTAAGTAATATAACACTGTACATGAGGTGGTGACCACCTTCCTCAACTCGCTAACACTCTGGAACACGACACAGAGTGGACCAGGCAGGCGACGGGCTGCCTGGTCCAGGACGATGACCCGGGACTTGAGGACCGATGATGTCGTCTTCACTTCGGAGTTCAACAGCCTCGATCTGCGTTCACACCACGCTTATATACCCTGCCCAGGCCACGCCTCCCTTCACAGGCCACGCCTCCCTTCACAGGCCACGCCTCCCTTCCCAGACCACGCCTCCCTTCCCAGGCCACGCCTCCCTTCACAGGCCACGCCTCCCTTCACAGGCCACGCCTCCCTTCCCAGGCCACGCCTCCCTTCCCAGGCCACGCCTCTCTTCATAGGCCACGCCTCCCTTCACAGGCCACGCCTCCCTTCCCAGGCCACGCCTCCCTTCCCAGGCCACGCCTCTCTTCATAGGCCACGCCTCCCTTCCCAGGCCACGCCTCCCTTCCCAGGCCACGCCTCCCTTCCCAGGCCACGCCTCCCTTCCCAGGCCACGCCCCCCCTTCCCAGGCCACGCCCCCCTTCACAGGCCACGCCTCCCTTCCCAGGCCACGCCCCCCTTCCCAGGCCACGCCCCCCTTCACAGGCCACGCCTCCCTTCCCAGGCCACGCCTCCCTTCCCAGGCCACGCCTCCCTTCACAGGCCACGCCTCCCTTCACAGGCCACGCCTCCCTTCCCAGGCCACGCCTCCCTTCCCAGGCCACGCCTCTCTTCATAGGCCACGCCTCCCTTCACAGGCCACGCCTCCCTTCCCAGGCCACGCCTCCCTTCCCAGGCCACGCCTCTCTTCATAGGCCACGCCTCCCTTCCCAGGCCACGCCTCCCTTCCCAGGCTACGCCTCCCTTCCCAGGCCACGCCCCCCTTCCCAGGCCACGCCCCCCTTCACAGGCCACGCCTCCCTTCCCAGGCCACGCCCCCCTTCCCAGGCCACGCCTCCCTTCCCAGGCCACGCCTCCCTTCACAGGCCACGCCTCCCTTCACAGGCCACGCCTTCCTTCCCAGGCCACGCCTCCCTCCCCAGGCCACGCCTCCCTTCCCAGGCCACGCCTCCCTTCGCAGGCCACGCCTCCCTTCCCAGGCCACGCCCCCCTTCCCAGGCCACGCCCCCTTCCCAGGCCACGCCCCCCTTCCCAGGCCACGCCTCCCTTCCCAGGCCACGCCTCCCTTCCCAGGCCACGCCTCCCTTCCCAGGCCACGCCTCCCTTCCCCCACCTCTGGGAAGGTCCGGGTCCCTCCACCACGTGACCCCCCAGGCACCCCCTTGGGGCCCCCAGCCCTCGTACGGGCTGACACAGTAGTGACGGCATATGTCACTACATATGTGCTAATTTTGTCTAACTTTTACGTTGGTCACTCGTTGGATCCAGCTTAGATGCAGTATCCTTCTGTAGCAATACATTTCGAGTGCCAATATCTTATCTTTGTCAGTCTCTTTTTTTATTATCCAAGTCTCGCAGGCATACAAAGCTGTACTGAACACGCATGTTCTTGAGATGTTCAGTGTGCCTGACCCCCGCAGTGCTAAGTACTGCGGGGACTTGCCGACTGATGCTCCTGCTGCTGTTGTGGAGTGACTCATGCAGCCAGCTATGGCTGCAGAGTTTGGTAGTACATGTTGTTTACGTCGTTTATTGTGAAAATTCGGTCACAGTTCCTATGATCACTGTTTCATTGCTTTTATGGCTTTATTTTGATGATTTTCGTAAAGTTTTTTGGTTTGGCCATGTTTTGTTTGTTGTAGTACAGAGTTAGACTGATGGCCTTAATCTAAGTTGTCTTGTGGTTGTTGTTGTTGTTTAACTTGCATCCCACTGGGATTTTTGCACACAGTGTTGGTGTACGGTGCTTTTGTCTGCAATATTTTGCTGTCTTTTCTTGGATTTTCTTTTTGCACATTGTCACTTTAAGATGTTTTCTTGTTCATGTTTTTGCTTTTTGTTTGTTGCGGTTGCACCCGATTCAAGAGCCGAATGGCTCACAGGGCTATGCCTAATAAATTAACTTGAAACTTGAAAACTTGAAGTAAACCTCGACTCTATGGGAACCTCATTTGCCAGTAAAAATATGATAATTGGTTTTTTACCCTTCTATCCGGCCAGATAGAAGGGTAAAAAAAACAATTATCATATTTTTACTGGCAAATGAGGTTCCCATAGTGTAGATGCTTGCCCCGAGCTCTCATACTCTGATGGTGCATTGTCTTTGAGTTTTGCGCCTTTTGGCATCATCTGGTCCAACCCATGTGAGACGAGGCTCTAAGGAAAGCTGTCTCGGG